CCTTCTAATTACTTGTCCAGATTGCCTTCACCGTGGTGATGTTCGGCATACAACTGTGGCCTATAGATCGATTCGAGAAATACAAAAATATTAAGTTAAGGGTCTCCTTCATTCCAAAATTATTATCTGATCATCACCGAAAATTATAGGCGCTGTCCTTGACCGTAACTGGAACTCCATGGAAAATTTCAATGCGATCAACGCTATCTTTCCGTCCTCTACTGTGGTAATGGGTTAATAAATAATATCTGAATACATATACACCTGTAAATATTTAAGTGTAACTCCCACATCCGAGTACATAGGGCAATAAATCAATTACAAGGCCAACCACTTCTCTTGGATATACTACCAACTTCACGGCTCTATGTCCTTTAGGAGTAAATATATACGCTACAGAATACAAATTTTGTCATTTTTCACACAAAAGTCAGGGTCCATTTGACCCGCTAAATATTGACCGATCTTTATAATTCTTTGGCCCGATCTCCTTCTCCATGTAAAATTTCGCGAGATTCGGGCCATAGTTGCGGCCTCTGGAGAGACCAGAAAAACCGACAAAAATTAAGTATTTGATCCATTTCATCCCCTAAATATTAACCGATCTTTACCAAAAACAATAGGGGTCTTCATTGGACCGAACCCATCCTACATGCAAAATTTCGTGAAGAGTGGTTCAAACTGTGACCTGTATCGTGTTTACAAATTATAATGGACAGACGGACGGACGGACACACATGTATAGATAGACTCAGCTAGTCGAGATATGACGATCGGTATACTTAAAGGTGGGTCTAGGACCAATATTTGGCGGCGTTACAAACTCTTGAGGCCGCTGCAAAAAGCTATAATACCCTGACAACATAGTTGTGTAGGGTATAAATATATTTTGTAAGAGACCCATAGAATGCCTGATTGAAATTGGGGAAAATCGGTTCAGATTTAAATATAGCTCCCATATATATTTTCGTCCGATTTAATGTTAATGGTGCACCTAAGTCCCTAAATATCTTTCGATTTCCACGAAATTTGGCATAGCGTACTGAATTGAGTTTAGAATGATGTGTGCTAAGTTTTGAGAAAATCGGTCCAGATTTAGATATAGCTCCCATGTATAGTTTCGTCCGATTTTATGTAAATGGTGCACCAAAGTCCCTATATATCTTTCAATTTGCACAAAATTTGGCATAGCGTACTGAATTGAGTTTAGAATGATGTGTGCTAAGTTTCGTGAAAATCGGTTCAGATTTATATATAGCTTCCATATATATTTTCGTTCGATTTAAGGTAAATGGTGCACCAAGGTGCCTAAATATCTTTCGATTTGCACGAAATTTGGTATAAAGTACTGAATTAGGACCAGAATGATGTGTGCCAAGTTTTGAGAAAATCGGTTCAGATTTAGATATAGCTCCCATATATATTTTCGTCCGATTTGAGGTAAATGGTGCACCGAGGTGCCTAAATATCTTTCGATTTACACGAAATTTGGCTCAGCGTACTGAATTGAGCCTAGAATGATGTGTGCTAAGTTTTCTGAAAATCAGTTCAGTTTTAGATATAGCTCCCATATGTATTTTCGTCCGATACATAAATGTTTGTCCGATTAACACGAAATTTTGTACAACATATCAAAGTAAGACTTGAATAACGTTATTCGGTTTTCTTGAAATTGGTGCAGATGCAGCCATAGCTTCAATATGTATGTCGAACGGGTGTCTGATTGAGATTGAATTTTTAACAGCGCGGCGTACCGAATAGCGTGTATGAATTTTGCTATAAATCGTTTTCCATAAATTTGTTCCATGGTCGCAGACGATTCTAAATCTGCTCGAATGAAATTAAATTTATCATAGGTTGCAGAAAGACAAGAGTATGTTCCTTCGAGGGAACATTGGCATGCAATTGTAATGATACATATGCGCAGTATACCCAATGTGGTGAATGGTATCATATAGTCGACCCAGTCCGACTTTACTACTTTCCTTACTGGGTTTTTTCTAGGTTTAGCTAAAGCGTGGATTTTTAAAATATTTTTTTTCAAGGCCTAGCTAAGGCGTAGAATTTTTAATTTATTTTTTTCCAGGCCTAGCTAAGGCGTGGATTTTTAAATTAATTTTTTTCAGGCCTAGCTAAGGCGTGGATTTTTAAATTAAATTTTTTCCAGGCCTAGCTAAGGCGTGGAATTTTAAAATAATTTTTTTCAAGGCCTATCTCAGGCGTGGATTTTTAAAATAATTTTTTTCAAGGCCTATCTCAGGCGTGGATTTTTAAAATAATATTTTTCCAGGCGTGCATTTTTAAAATAATTTCTTGAATTGTGACTTAATCTATTTTACCTTGCAATCGCCTAGTAATTTGACTATATAAACATTTGCGTTAACACGATTTTCATTGGCTTACACAATAGCACATAATTATTTATATATTTATGTATGTATTTAAAATGTTCATAAAATAAATGATCGTATATTAATTTAATTTGTAGTATGTACGGATTTAGATATTCAATACAAAATTTAAGAAAATTCAGAATTTTTTTTTCACAGTCCCCAAGCAGGTATCCGATAACATTCCGCATTTTTAACTTGTGATCAATATTTAAAGAAAAAACAAACATATGACTTATTATGGGGTTTTCCCTCTCTTGCCTAATGATTTCATAAAAAATATTTATTTTCCTCATGCCTTTGCCGAACTTCCCCACAGCTATATAAACAATCGTATTCGCACGAATGGAAATTAGTATGATTTTTAATCTCTTTAAAATAAGTAGCATGCAGCCATTAGTCTTAGTATCGATTTTCCTAACAATTTGGATGGTGACTCCAGCCTCTGCTTTAAGGCCAATTTATAATTCGGATACTCAACATTATTTCGTACCCTGTTCAGGAGAAGGCTGTAATCAATATACACCACAATGGGATATAGGGGAAACGGAATATGCAGTTCAAACCCCTAACATGGATTCTAAACTTCAATCACAAGGCAAGGTTCCAATTAGCAGTCAATGGCAACGAGTATTACCACCAGTTATGGTGAATACCCTGGAGACCACAATTCAAAAACCTGAGGTAAAAGAGAATAGAAATCGAAGAAAATCTATTCCAATGGATAAAATGGTTCGAGAATTCTATCGGCCATATAGTCGTTATTTTTATCGTTAAGGAATTAATAAAGAAAATAAAAATTAAAAAATAAAAAAAAAAAAAACAGTAAGGAAAGTAGTAAAGTCGGACGGGGCCGACCTATGTACAACTGTGGATTCACCATTTACCTAAAATGGGTCGAAAATATATATGGGAGCTATATATAAATCTGGACCGATTTCATGGAAACTTGACGCTCATCATTCTAGTTTTAATTCATTACTCTGTGCCAAATTTCGTGCAAATCGAGAATATATAGGGTCTTTGGTGCACCATTTACCTTAAATCGGACGAAAATATATACGGGAGCTATATCTAAATCTGAACCGATTTTCACGAAACTTAACACACATCATTTTAGACTCAATTCAGTACACTATGCCAAATTTCGTGCAAATCGAAAGATATATAGGGACTTTGGTACACAATTTACCTTAAATCGGATGAAAATATATATGGGAGCTATATGTAAATCTGAACCGATTTTCACAAAACTTGGCAAACATCATTCTAGGCTCAATTCAGTATGTTATACCAAATTTCGGGCAAATCGAAGGATATATAGGGACTTTGATGCACCATTTACATGAAATCGGACGAAACTATATATGGGAGCTATATCTAAATCTGGACCGATTTTCACGAAACTTAACACACATAATTCTAGACTCAAGTCAGAACACTAAGCCAAATTTCGTGCATATCGAAAGATATATAGGGACTTTGGTGCACCAATTACCTTAAATCGGATGAAAATGTATATGGGAGCTACATCTAAATCTTAACCGATTTTTCCCAATTTCAATAGGTTTCGCCCTTGGGACAAATAAATGAGCTGGGCCAAATTTTATCCAATTCGAATCATTTACCTTTACTTTGTTTACAATTGACGGACGGACATGCATAAATCGACTCAGAAAGTGATTCTATGCATATTCTCAAAAGGAATCATGTGTCTATCTCGATTCCTTTTGCCTGTTACAAACATATGCACAAAGACATAATACCCTGTACCACAGTTAGGAAGAACCCCAAAATACCGAAAATAGGGGGTACCCTTATATGGGGACTATCCTAAAAAAATTGACCTATATTTATATTTTTTTGTGGAGAGATTTGGTACCCATTAAGAAGTCAAAATACTAAATTTCAGCCAATTCGGTGGAAAAATACGATCAAAACCCCCAAAATACTGAAAATTCGGGACTGCCAGAAAAAGTGGACCTATATTTATAATCTTTTGTGGAGACATTTAGTACCCAATAAGAACCCAATGTACCAAATTTCAGCGTATTCGGTTGAAAAACGTGCTCAAAAACCCCAAAAAGTGTGACCTATGCCTAAACGTGGACCGATATATCCCATCATCGAACTTGACCTGCCTGCAGACAAAAGACAAACTTATGCAAAATTTCAGCACCCTATCTCAATTCCTTCAGAAGATAGCGTGATTACAACAGACGGACAGACAGACGGACATGGCTAGATCGTCTTAGAACTTGACCCTGATCAAGAATATATATATATTTATAGGGTCGGAAATGAATATTTCGATGAGTTACAAACGGAATGACCTTCCATACTATGGTAGAGGGTATAAAAATTAAAAATTTTGAAAAAAAGTATTTTACAAATCTACGACTATGGATGGTCCCTGAAAAAGTAATTTTTAAAATCGACGCCTGTTGGAAGTCTTTCAAAAAATTATTTAAAAAATCTCATTCTTGGATTTTATTACGCAGATTTTGAAAAATATATTTCATAACTAATATTGAATATTTATTCTTATCCCATTAGCGGATAACCTCCAAAATTAGTTCCTGGTGGAGTAGTTGGTACAGTGGGTGTGGGCTACCCAGCAGTTGGTGTTAATGTTGGTGTCCAACTGCCTGGCGGAGTAGTTGGTACAGTGGGTGTGGTCCAGCCAGCGGTTGGGGTTGTCGCCGGTGGTGGTACGGGTTCTGGTGAGGTGCTGGGTATGACACCACTACCTGGTGGAGTTGTTGGCATAGAGTGTGTGGGCCAGGCAGTTGTTGGAGCAGTAGGGGATGTTGCCGCCGTAGGTGTAGGCCACACACCAGTTGGGCTAGTTGCTGGTGGTGGTATAGGAGCGGGTTCTGGAGTAGTTGGCATAGAGTGTGTGGGCCAGCCAGCAGTTGGGGTTGATGGCAAAGTAGGTGTGGCCCAGCCCGTAGTTGGGCTTGTTGGCGGTGGTGGAACGGTTGCTGGGCTTGTGGGTATAACACCGCTTCCAGGTGACGCGGTACCAGTTGGGGCTGTGGGTGCAGGAAAAGTTCCAAATGGTGGCTGAGGCACGCTTGGTATGAGTCCGCTACCAGGTGGTGTAGTGGGTGGTAATGTTGGTGTTGTTGTTGCCGGTGGCAGTGCCGTGGGATAGGTTCCCAATGGTGGTGATGGTGCTGGAGTTACTGGCCATGGTGTGGGCGCAATAACCGGCGGTGATGGTGGTGGTGGACAATTGGTAGGGGGTGTATTCGCACATCCTCCCCAAATACATTTCAACCAATCGAAGAAACTACTCGATGATGGTGTAACAATAATAATCGGCACCGAATTCACAAATGGATTCGAACAGCTACCAAAAAATGGTACACATGCTGAATTGGCCAAGGTAAGGCATAATGCCGTAAAGAAAATCAGCGACAAATATTTCATGATGTCTTCAATGGGTTGGTAGGAGACATCAACTGTGAGACCTATTCAGATCTGAGGTAGTTTTATAGTGCCCAAAATAATAATGGATTTTAGTGCGAACTTCGATTTCTATTTCCGCAAACTAAAGCAAATGCCAGAAACTAAAATAAATTTTAATAAACAACAATCGACATCTGTTTCTGAGAGACCAATGGGTGTTTTGTGCGTGTGTGTGTGCTATTGAAACAAGTGGGGTTATTTTTTTCCGAAAAGTTAAATATATTATTAATGCGTCAGAAAAAAAATTAAAAGTTAAAAAAAATAAATTAACTAAAAAAATAAATAAAATAAATTTAAAAAATCCACGCCTATTGGTAGTCCGGGAAAAAATTATTTTAAAAATCCACGCCTATTGGTAGTCCTGGAAAAAATTATTTTAAAAATCCACGCCTATTTATAGTCCTGGAAAAAATTATTTTAAAAATCCACGCCTATTGGTAGTCCTGTAAAAAATTATTTTAAAAAACCACGCCTATTGGTAGTCCTGAAAAAAATTATTTTAAAAATCCACGCCTATTGGTAGTCCTGGAAACAATTATTTTAAACAACCACGCCTATTGGTAGTCCTGGAAAAAATTATTTTAAAAATCCACGCCTATTGGTAGTCCTGGAAAAAATTATTTTAAAAATCCACGACTATTGGTAGTCCTGGAAAAAATTATTTTAAACAACCACGCCTATTGGTAGTCCTGGAAAAAAAATATTTTAAAAATCCACGCCTATTGGTAGTCCTGGAAAAAATTATTTTAAAAATCCACGCCTATTGGTAGTCCTGAAAAAAA